CGTTTATCTCGCGACCTATCGCTAATGAATGTAAAAAAAAAAAGAAGAAAAAGAAGATAGTCGGAAGAGGAGGAGGAGGAGAGAATAAGAAGAAGAAGAAGATGAGGGGGAGGACGACGACGAGAGATGGTGAAGAAGAAGAAGAAGAATAAGATGAGAGGGGGAGGAGGAGGAGGACTGAAGAAGTCGTGGAAGAAGAAAAGCAGAAGAGGTAGAAGAAGAAGAAGAAGAAGAAGAAGAAGAAGACGAGAGGGGGAGGAGGAGAGGAGAGGAGAAGAAGAAGAAGAATGAGCGGAGGAGGAGGAGGAGGGAAGAAGAAGAAGAAGAAGAAGAACAGACCGGCACTCCACGTCGACGGGTGGCAGGGGTTGTCGGCAGGCAGGAGCACCGCGATGGAGGACGCTGGCGACACGACGACGACGGGCGAGTAAAGCTCCCAGGCAATGGCGACGAGAGGCAGCTACTTCGACGACGGGGGACTCGACGACGAACGCAGCCGGCTACAGCAGGTGTCGACGCCCGTTTGGACAGCTGATGCAGGCCGCCCCAGCGAGTGGCTTGTTCAAACGGGGCCTCCGTTTTCCCTCCAAAAACGAATGGCCCTCTGGCCGTTGATCATGGATGATCAACGGCCAGAGGGCTGACCCAAATTCAAAAAAAAAGGACAGGCCTCACGGGCCCGACGCGCCGTTTTCTGGCCGTGGTCGGACCCGGTAGGCCCTGGGGAGGCGAAATCTCCCCGAATCGGGGCCCGAATCGGGGCCCGAATCGGGGCCTGAATCGGGGTCGGGAACCCCCCGCCAACAAGGTGTGCTGGGGGGGCCCGGCCCCCAACTGGGCCGCCCGCCCGGCCAGGCCGCCCGGGACCTACCCTGGGCAGGCTCCAGTCGGCCGGGTGGCCCGGATCCGTACGCAGTGTTGTGTAAAATAGCGTCACGTTAGCGTGTCGAACAGATTTTGGCTGAGGTTCACCTTGGAATTCCTTATTAAGTCTCGATATGAAAATACAGTAGAAAATGGTGCTTAGGATGTACCCCTTTGGACCCCTTTATAACCTGTTTATAGCTGCGTAGCACAGCGAACGTGTTCGCGCCCCTTCATGTTCGTGCGAACGTGTTCGCGCGTTCGCGCGAACATGTTCGGACGAACATAATTTTTTTTCGTAAAAAAAAAAAAAACAAAAAAAAAAAAACATTTTTCGGTTTTTGATTTTTAACTCATGATTGGTTACGAATTTGAACATGACTCCAAGGCAAAAGTTGCTTGTATTGTTATTTTACATAACATATTTGTTTTTCAGATTTTGCTGAAAACTTTTTTTTTTTTTTTTATAAATATTTTTTATGTTCGCGTTCGGAGGGTTTTGGGCGCTTGTTCGCGTTCGGGCGAACATGTTCGCGTTCGCCTCTGAACGCGAACACGGTGCTATAAACTAACTTGATACCTGCCAAACTCCCCTGGGCGACCCATTACCAAATCGGAAGATAAGGGCCCTCAGGCTAAGTGGATTCCAGGTCTGACGTCAGTTTTTTTTTTTTTTTTGGATCCTTGCCTCGTTTTGACCTGCCTGATTGTGCCGGGCATGTCCCCCCCCCTACCTGCCTGCCCCAGGCATGCCCATCTGGGCAGTTTTTTAGCCCAGACTGGTGGTGTTATCTTTTTATGCCATTTTTGCCACATTATTTTCAGCATCTCACACCAAATGCATGCAAGAGTATGCAGTGTGTGCTCCTGAGTCCAAATCTCAACAAAAATGCATCTTCAGAAAGTCTGTGACTTGCCCAGACTTCAATACAGCAAAGTACTTTTCAAGTTTGTAACAGATCAACAGTACCGTCGTAGATTCACAGTGCTGCAAACTGCCTACGGCAAACTCCTTGTTCCTGGCGACGACTCAAAATACAATTCTGGACACTTCCTTCTCCCTGGCTACACCAGCTCACAATACATTGTCGCAGACTTCCTTGTCCCTGTCCCTGTGTATTTTGCGGAGAGGGGGGGTGGAGGGCAGATGAGGGAGGGGAGGGGAGAGGAGGGGAGTGGAGGGGAGAGGGGCGATGGAAGGGAGGGGAAATGTTACACGCTGAGCCTGCACACGAGCCCCATTTCAGGGGCCCGACTTTTGCTGCGGGGCCCCCAGGCCGCGTGCCCATCAGACACGGGCCCTGGAGGCCCACGGCGGCCCCCAAGCAGCAGGTTTTGTTTACACTTTACAGGCAGCATTTATTTATTTACGTACTTACTAACTTATTTGCTGTCCTATTTTTGTCTGTGCAGACGTCATTTCGGACTTGCAGGCCTCAAGGCTACGCCTTGGGCTGGGTACACAGGAGCGAGGCCGTTTTTAGGCCAGGCATGTTTTTGCGCTTTGCTGCATCAGCAACATGGTCTGGACGGCCAGTAGGGGCCCAGACCGAGTGGGCCGTTTGAGGCCAGCATCAGAGGAGCGCCCAGCCAGGCCCAGCGCTATTTATAGCTGGGCAGCGACTGGGCACACACACAGTTCGAGTAGCTAACTTCTTGGGCGACACGCTGCTGGACCAGCACCACACGTGACAGCGCTGCGCTGCGCTAGAGGTAGAGGAGTAGGTAGGGGCGCTTGAGGTAGAGGAGTAGGTAGGGGGACAGGGCATACCTGAATCGTTCGAGTACGTACCTGGGCGCCATAGCTGGATCTGTCTCCAGCGACCTGCACCACAGCGTATGCCAGCGACGTCAGTACTTGGCATCAGTTACCTGCAGGTGAGACAGTGAGGAGGAGGACATCATCTTCTTCTTCTTCTTCTTCTTCTAACTCTTCCTAGCTGTCATTTCGAATTTTTATTCAGAAGTCAAAACCCCTTGTTTTGTGCAAAATTCGTTACTACGAAATCGAAAATATCCGAGAATTGCGAGTATTTTTTTTCTTGAAACGGGATATTCCGCGTAATTATTTCTGCGATTTCTTCTGAATATTCCATGGATTTTTTTTATTTTTATTTTTCCGCTATATAGTTTCTTGATAATCGGAATATCAATCCGATTTATTTCGCGATTTAATAGGAATATTCCACGATTTATGTCGCGATTTTATTTTCTTGAAAATAGGAATTATGCGAGGATGTAGTCCCTCGGCAATGTCTGAAAGTTCCGTGCCTGCCTTAAGTGAAGGCGGGCTTGCAAATATGGGCCAATGCCTGTTATAGGGCTATGAGACCAGGCTGAGGGGCCCAAGCAGAGCCTGTTGGAACCCCCATGTGAGATGGATCTTCGACGAGGCCTTGTTATGAGTTAGCTCCTCGACATGCCCCTGTAGGGCCCTTTCAGCAAGCATGACCCCGCCCTAAGTGAAGGCGGGCCCCTGAATTTCAATATAGCCTGAGTTCGTCAATTTTGGCAAAGCTTGGTG